CGCACACTCGACACGCACGATCTCCGCAGAGGGTTGCGAGTCAAGTCTCCAAAACGAGCGTTTCGTACGAGACTTCCTCAAAAACTCACACGTCAAAGTCTGCAAAACGAGCGTTTCGTACGAGACTTCCTCCAAAAGTCAAGTGGAAACACCCATCGGAGCACACACATCACGCAGCCCTGCCAAGCAGTTTCGCGATTCCAGCCCCTCCAAACAACATCCGCTCACACGCCATGGCAATCCCAATGTGACAGCGACATTCACCTCTACCACGACTCACAACCTCACGATTCCCTGCACCTGCCACGAATCTTTCCGCGTCCACACGTGTAACGCGCACAGAGTACTGCGCCTGCCACGAAATGTCACCTCCGTCACACCTCGCAACCTCACGATTCCCTGTGCCTGCCACGAGAATCGCACTTCCACGCCTCAAAGCCCGCACAAAGTCCTGCGCCTGCCACGAAAAGTGAGAATATCATCTCATGTGAGCTTCAACAAAATTTGCACCACACCACACGTTTGGAATGATTTCGACCCGTTCTGAGCACACTCCCATCCACCAAAATCGCCATTTCAGCTGAGACTTGTCACGAAAACCGAGCTTCGATGCCACACCCTGAAACGCAAATCCCAATGGCACGGCCACATCCAACACCCCAAAAACACGACTCTCCAAACGCTAATCCCAATGGAACTGCGCAGCAATCTGCGGATCTCACAAAACGCTGCACCTGTGCAGCGAAACGTATCACGTTTCTTGCGCGACATGTCGGTGTCATGCAAATCACAATGGAATAGCGACGCAAACTGACACGTGACGCGTCCATGCAAAGTCACTTGCAAAAGCTTCCCCCAATGGCAGCAAATTTGAGACGCGACGACGACGACAGACTACGACAGACGACGACAAACGACGAGAGACGACGACAGACGACGACACGACGCACGCCACGCGAACACAGCTCCAACCCCCAGACCCCCAACTATAAACGGGAACCCTTCGCTACGCATTCGGGAAAAAAAAGAAACAAACACAAAAGTCAACATAGCAGTCCGTGCAAAAAGTCAAAGTCCCCCAAAATCAAATCATAAAGTTTCAGAATATTAAAAACAAATCAAACACACAGTCAATTGGGCCAGATCCGACATTTGTTGATGCTTGTTTGCTTTTTTTGGTTTGTTCCAACTTTTTTGACTTCTATTTGATGTATGACCCTTCTTGAGTTGTTGTCCAATTGTGTTGTTGTTTGTTTTCGTAATTTATGTTTTTGTTTGATGTTTCCGAGTTTTTTTTTCCAATTGTTGCTTGTTTTTTGTTCAACGTGTTTTTTGACGTTTATTTGGTATGTTTGATGTTGTTTTCGAGTTGTTTTCTAATTTTGTCAGTTTTTTTTGCATTTGTCCGACTTATACTTTATACTGTTTGACTCTTCCAACTGACTTTTTCCATGTGATTTGTTGTTTCTTCGACTTGTTTAATCCAAGGACCCTGGCCTTACCAAAAGAAAGAATCTTTTAACCCCATCGACAATTCACCCAGGGAACATAATATATGAGCATAGCACATCTCCAGCAAAACAATGATACCTGTCCCCGGCACCGTGCATTGCATACTTGCCTACATGAACCCCCGAAAGCACCCCAACTGTTGGGCAAATGATGCCAGTCCTAGGCCCAAACAGGTCGAGTCGTTGACGGTACTTACATGTGCGCGCGTATTACCCCTATGGGTCCACATACCTTCTGAGAAGGTAGAAACACTAGTCACTAGCTCACGGACCGAAAGTAATTGGATCCTACAAGCTGGGCCCCCCCACAACATTGTCCACTGATTGCGGCCTTCCCTGGCCGTGTTGTCTTGCTGTATGCTGAGACGCGCCGGCATTGGCAAGCATTTCTCTTCCACAATGCTGGCGATCTCCTCCAAAGCATGGGTCAGAACCGTGAGTTGGTGGTTGCTGTCCTTCTTCTGATCGCTGCTTGCGACATAGAAAAGGTCGGCAACCCCATGGCACAACACAACCATCGTGTTGAGCAGCTCCGGTCGCCAAGCCGACTCCCATTGCTTCCCCAAGTCCATGCTTGGGCATCCCATCCCATCCACACCACGGGGGCGTGCCCGTCAGCAACGCTGGCTCATCCTCATCTACTATGTCGTGCAATGCTTGCACACATCCGAACGATTCAAATCCTTGTTCTATCAGCCTGGACGCTCACAAAGGTCTTGCCTTCATCGTTGGCTCACTTTTTTTGCCGCGAAGCAAGTGGGTCTTTGTCAGAGTTCATCTGACGCAAGTGGGTCTATGACGAATCCTGGCCGGAGTTGGTACTTCTGAGCCAGTGCTGTGAATCGGCGAATACAGCCCCATCACATCACATCAACTGCCATCTGGGTGTGATCAGGTGTGCTATGTCAGCCACCGCATCGGTGATCTCGTTGTTCATTGAGTATGTCTACCAGAATGACACCTTCCAGATGTTCTCTTGGCAATGTCCTTTTCCTTCGTTAGCGTCAAGCCTGGCGACGCGACTGGTCGCGTCGCGTCAGTCCACCCCATCGGGTGGTGCCATTCGCTTCGTGCCCTTCTGCACGGCGTGACCGGCAGGTCTATGCGAAGCCTCACCCGCTCGCTTCTTGGGTTCTGCCATCACCTTGGCCACAAGGCCTTGCTGGTTTCTTTTCTTCAGCTACCGGTCACAAAGAGCGAGAAGGTGAACAAAAAACAGTTCCTGACCAAGTCCCGTCAAATGAGATCAGTTCCTGACCAGTCGCGTCTGTTTTGTATGACCAACCTCCAGTAAAATCAGGTCTTTGACCGAACTCCGCTGTACGTGTTCTTTAAACAAACATAACAAACGTCACTTGTCTTCCAGTCCCGGATGGTCGACCTATACCGCTGGTCCGCTCGTACCGCTTCCTTCCGGCGGCTCCTGCGCTCCAAAGCCGATCGAGTCCAAGTAGGCCAAGGCGCCGCCCTCCTGAGCTCGCTCGGCGGGCGGAGCGGCGCTCGCGAACGGACACGAACGGAACGATCGAACGCGACGAGTTCCGGGGCTCCTGGCCTTACTACTCCCTAGGGATCCACATACCGAACCTCAGGAGGTACGACTGGGCCCTCCAAGCCTATACATAAATAGTCTCCTTCTGAGAAGGTACTTGGATCCCTAGGGACTAGGAGCCTTCGGACAGCTACTTATAGGGGCTCCTGGCATCGCTCGCTGGCTGCGGTTCTCCCGCGACCCAGCGGGGAACCCGATGACGCTCTAGGTCGCGGAGGCCGTGACGCCAGAGCTTGGCCATGGGTCCGTTTTCTTTTGAGACCTGAAGTCATTCGGAGCCTGGTCTGTGGTATGGGGAAAAGGCTATAGAAAAACCTCTCTATTACAAGACATGGGAAGGCTGCCAGGCTCCAAGGTGTTACATTCGATGTTCACTTTCCCTAGATACCCTTCTACTACTAGCTTCTTGCCCCTAGTAGCGGTGGCATCCAACCTACTTGCGATGGCCTCCACCAAACACTGTAGCGTCCTTGTTAGTAGCTTCTTGTTCCTATATTAAGGCCAGGAGCTCCGAACGGAACGTAGCATCCTTGCTCCGTTCGTAGCGATGCCAGGAGCCCCGTTTGTAGCGTCCTAAATAGGGATCCACGGAGCCACACTCTCTTTAAAGGTGATTGGACCCGACCCTACCGAACCATCCAAAGAGTCTCCCTGCCTACCCTTCTCAGAGGGTGGATCTGTGGAAAAACATTGAAAGAAGCCAAAGATGAAGAGTGTTGAAGCCTAGGGTCTCATTACCGGTCTTACAGACATGCGCTTTATTGTGAAGGCTGCACAAGCAAAAGCACACCTCTTCCACCTTCAGTGAGGGTCTTCGGATGTACTCAGCATTCGATACTCTGAAACAGCAAAAAAGCATGGGGCGAGTATTCAAGTGTAGCTCTGAGCTTTCCACAGAAGCCCAGACTTTGCCAAGCTGGATGCCAAGCGCTTGAGGGTTGGGTCAAGCTAACACCAGGTCGCAATTCAGTCATTCCGATTCCTGGTTTGGACACTTCCTTCGTTCCGTCGAACATGGGACATGGCAGCTGACACTGTCTCCCTATAGAACAAAACGACTAGTCTAGGGCCTCCTCAGTCTCCACCTCTCTTCGACTTGCCGTGGTCATCTATCCATTTCATGGCCAACACCGAACACCGCCGTCTCCGTGCCTCTTCGAGCATCTCCAGCGTATAAGCCATGGTCTGCGGAAAGACCGCTGCGCCGTGCTCGGACGCCGTGGCCGCCCCCGACGCGGCGTCACCATCCATGGCCGCGCCTGCCGAGTTTCGGTCTCATCCGGGTGCTATCCAGGGAGGTGAGGGGTGCCCACCAGACCTAATCCATCCACGACAACACCACCCAACAACACTTCTGACTCCAGGTGAGTTGTTGGTTCAAAACCCAATTAGCTAAAATGCTCCAATACATTCCAATAAGAGTCAACATACGCTTCACATTCCTATAGCTCCGTGTCAAACGACTGATGCAGGCGAGTGCCTGTGTCACTGACAGACCTGCCACAAGTTCGCAAAACCTGGTTTCAGTTTCACAAACAACTCGGCGACACTCTATGGCAATATGCATGGTTACGTGGATGGCATGGCCCCCCGGAAAACCATTTGGCTCTCCGAACAGGCGGTGTTCCACGTCCATGGTAGAGCTAGGAGGGTAAAAAAAAAACACATCACTAATCAAATACAAAGGACAAACACATCCTCCAAAGGGCAAAGGTCATGGGAGCGTTTGAGAATTCAAATCACATCAAACGTCTTACACCCTATATAGGAATCCACATACCCTCTGAGAAAGTAATTATAGATCCTTAGCGAGAATAGACACCGATCTCTGTTGCAGCTCAGACATCGACCTCTTGAACAAAAAGTCAAGCACTCATGGCGTCCACCCCACCGTTTACAGAGTGAGCATCGTGTTGTTTTCGCCACGACACGAGACGTGACGTGCATGGAGGAACTATGCTAAAGATCGAGGAACCATCTACAACCAGGAGTCACAAAGGGGTGGTTTTTAGTCCCCAAGTGAGTGGATGTTCTGGGCACCCCTATTCTATCCTCCAATAGGCACCCCTATCCTCCAATAGGCACCCCTTTTGTGACAGCTGGAAACAACTCAATATACATATAGACTCTTGATTAATAACCCCATTCAATATGATGATGTTTTTTCCAACCCAATGGGGGGGTTGGAGTCGGCTGCATGTACCTCGGAATCGCCCCAGGTCGTACCAGAAACAGAAAACATAAACGAGTCATGCATCCCATGTTCATCTGAATGTTTCGTCGGGTCCACATCCAACTCTGGATCTATAGTTTCTTCTCCGCATCCCACTCCCTGCCCTTCCGAAACAATCACACCTTTTTGTCCATTGCCCGTTACTGTACGTCACTGCGCGTCACACATGTCACGCGTCGCGTCGCGTCACTGTCGCAGCGCAAGACGTGACATGTCGGACATCGCCCAAGGTCGGATTGCAGCGTTTTGGCGCGCCTGGCCGAAGGCCTGGCCAGCTGGCGTCATACTGCAAGGGATGGACCTCCGGAGCCATGCGCAATGCGCATCGCCATTTCTTTCGGGTCGACCGGATCGGAGCATGCATGGCATGGGACGAAGGAAAACCCAGTGTCGCAAAACGATAGCTTGGTATACGCTTGGATATTTTCTTTGAGGAAGCGGGACAAACCGGAACAGATAGCTACATCGCCCAAAACCAGTATATAGACCCAAACCCTTGCCTTCGGTGCACGGTCTAACAGATCAACTCCGAGTTGGGGGTCGGTGGGACGTTCCGGAAGAAACGGGCTTCAACATGTTCTTCCACCCAAACGCGACCCAAGTTCCGTTGTTCCACCTCGACTCCTCGGTAGAAGGAGCGTCTGCTTAGAAGGCACTTGGGACTTAGCGACTTAGCGATACTTACGGGTGACGGGGGTCAATGTAGGCATGTATGGCATACATGGAGTGTCTGGGATAGACTTATCATGTTCACTCGCAAGTGGGGAAGATGTTTCATCCACGAGTCAGTGGAGACCTGTCAAACCTCCCGCCGCTGGAGACCCGGAAAGCGGAGTCGCTCGTCGCTCGAGACCGGTGGACCTTTGTCATTGATCATGAGGTGGATGTGTGAATGTGATGTCTGGTATTTCTGTCACCCAAGTTGACTTATCCCGAACTGGATGCACTGCCACCTTCACCTGAGAAGGTCAGACTTTTTGTGTAGGCGCCATTGTCGGGTCCAATTACCTTCTGAGGTGCGGTGGCAGTGGATCCATATAGGGTATATAGGTCGACTCTAGGTGGATTTCTAGGGTTTATCTACCAACGTCCACATCTCACAAAGTTCCTCCTCTTGGCTCCGAATCTCCTCGTTTCTCGGCGCCCATCGGACGGCTGTGCCTGGCCAGATTTCTGCATCATCTTGAAGCGCCGCGGATCTTCTTGCTCCACTTGCTTCCACCAAAGCGCCATGCCAACCTGTATCGATCTAATCCGCCAGGTTGGCTGGATTGGAAGGAAGCGCCGGTGTGAATGGTAGGTTTCATGTTAGGCATATCCGACGTCTTGATTGATTTACTGAAATTTTTAGAATTTTAGTTTTTTCACAGACCCACCATATTCTCTGCTTGGGTTTGCAGATGCTGTGTTTACAATGCAACACAACACAGCGGGCCGTCATCAACATTTCTGCCCCATCCATGGAATGTCTGGGTGATGTGAATGTAGTTTGTTGATGATAAAATCCCCATATTATGAAAGGATAATCCAAACGGAGGGGGCATATCAAACAAAAGTGCGCACAAAACGACAAGGACATTAAACACTAACACTAAAACTGCCCACTGCTGACAAGTCAGAAGACATCTTAGCGTGCCGCAGCGTGCCCACTGGTTTTTCAATTCAATCTCATGCATGATGGTTTCATCCTTCCCGGTGTTGACACGACTTTTCTGCTAGCCTATGCTAGCCTGGCAGGTGAAATCCACTCCACCCATTGCCCATCCGTGCCATTCCGTGCCAATCGGTCCGGAAAGCCTCCAGCTTCCCCACCAACCATTCCCACCCATTCCCCGTCCTGCGCGCAAGCGTTGATGTGTTCAGATGCCTGATTCGTCTTCAGGTAGTCAGTCAGAATGGCCTCCTGTCAGCACTTGTTGGGAAGCGAACCAAATGGTCAGGGAACACATGTTTTTGTTGCCTTATGACCGTGAAGAGGTACGATAGAGGACATGGAGACAAATCCAAACGATCTCTGGTTTTGTATTTCGCCACCTTATCGAAAACCGGCCGCCCCCATCACCAAAAATCTGCCAAACACCAGAGCGGTTTCTTTTCCATATTTTTTGTTGTTTCCGAGTCCACGTTTGAGATGCACGCGTGTCGAATGCACACGCAGCCCCCCTGGCATCTCCTGTGTGACATGCCTCATGTATTGTGCATTTTGTTTAGCGGGTAGGGTACTACTTTCTAGGCACTTTCTGCACTGAGGCGAAGGTACTTGATCATCAAGTTGCTTTTCCCCACCTGCCAGGTGAGGGTTGTTAGATTCTATCAGAGCTATCCTCCTCCTCCTCCTCCTCCCGCCACACCTCAACAGCAAGTGCCAGATTGCATAGCCTGGCTGCGATTGGAGTGATATGTTCCTGCTGTGTCAGCACAGGCTCCAACTGCGACCATGTGATTGGATTGGAGCGGAGCACGCGGCGTTGAAGGTGAGGAAACAAAGTTCCGAAGACCATCTTGGAGCCCACATGTAGTTGAAACGCCCGTGATGCAGCAGCCGGCGCAGGACTTCGAAAGATTCTCGGCAGTGCATGAAAAGAGGGCAAGTGATGAAGTAAAGGTGTGCATGTGGACACGCCCAGCTACTCGAGATGCGGTAGAGCGTTGATAAGTCATCCTCTGACACACCAGAAGCATTGCGACTCTCTCAGAGCCCTGTGAAAAAGCATCACATGCAGTGAAGTGAAGGTTCTGGCAAGGGCTCCGGCTGACTTTCTCCATATAGAATAGCCGGTGCATGCCAATTTCATGGCTATCAATTCAAGGGAACCAAAGCATCTGCGGCAAGTCTTTGAATGCTACGTAGCTACTCTCCCATATAAAAGCTTCGGCTCTTTCTGGCCGAAGCTCCAGGCATGACGGACCAGCCGCGCATCGGCGCGCTCACCGCTTAGCCCCCGAAGTCGGTCCGGCAGCGCATCGGCCGGAATCAGAAGGGTTCTGGAGGGTTCTGGGGCGCATCGCGAAGTGAGGGGACTCAGATGTGAAGGAGTGAGGGTTGAAATCAGAAAACACTGGAGTTGAAGGGAGGTGGTACTTCATCCAGAACCAGAGTCGCCGGCCGTGTCACGAGCTCGCGAGCCGCCGGCGCGAGTCGCCGGCGCTGCCTTTGGAACGGCCAAGAGACGGTGGGAGGCCGAAAGACGAGAAGCTGACAGATCCCTACCCTAAGGATCATTGGACCCGACCACTTCTGGAGGGTGACCCGACCCCGCAGGTTCGAAACTCGAGATTGGGCATTCCAGCACTTCCAACTGCGGCATCGAAACCGTTTCTTTTGGATGGATGGATGCCAGAAGTGGCCGAAACGCAAAAACCAATCATCCTCTACTCACACACTTTGTGATGACGAGGTGGTATATACCCTAGGGCTCCGAACGCCCCATATCCTCAGGTTCGGTGGTATTCGACCCCCCTGGCACCCACCCGAACCATCTTCGAAACGGGGGTAGTTGGAGCCCTATAGGGATTGATATATCCCGAAATTAAGTGGATGTTGAGGGCTCTAAAGCCCCTCCAGCACCACTCCCCTCCAATAATTGGCGATACATTCTTCCACAGATACTCCGACTCGGCCACATGGAACCCACAATCTGAACATCTGCCACATCTCGCCCATATACCATTCCACATGCCATCTGTTGGGACCAACGCTCGCCGTCGAAACAAGCCAAACGTCACCCGTGAAAATCCACCGCTCCAACCTCCGCGCTCTCCGTGTGCGGCGCTCGGCGCGCCTGGTCCAATCCCAGGGCACTCAAGATGAGACAGGCCAAAAGCCCTGTACGATCCTTTCCTGCGAAGGTCGACGTTCCAAAGATGGTCTAACAGGTCAGACAGGTCCAGGTCAGGCGTTGGAGTTGCACATCACCGAACTTCTGAAACCCAAGCATGACCACTGTTTTGACAGGACAAGGCCATGTTTTCACCTGTTTTGAACCCAGACTTGACCCCTGTTTTGATAGGAAGCTGGACCATGTTTTCTGTGATTGCTGGTGGCAAACAACTAAGGTCACTTAGGTTAAAGGCATGTATACCATGAATACCATGTATGACCCGAATGGAAGTACAGTAACTCTCACCATGGACACGCGCGACAGCGGACATGGCGGACAGCAATCGACCCCTTGTCCTTTGGACGGGTTTGGGTCGGCTGTACTAAAAACATGTAGTCTTTGTGACATTCACACATGGGACATGAATGCATGGCAGGTGAGTGGCTAATATTGCAAGAACCAAACTTGCAAATCCGCAAGTAAAGCGACCAAATTTTGTTGAAGGTACCTAACGTGATATCCTCGGAAGGCTTTATCGAGGTTGGCTTGGTCCGGCTGGGATTCCTAAGGCGTCGAACTAACTGGCTTTCCCGATCTGGGTTGTCGATATGTTGATTTGGCCAAGGGAAGGGACATGTATCCCATCGAGTTTGTGAGGGGCTAATTCTAGAGTGATAGGGCGCGCCTCTTGGTAATACGCCAAGCATCCCACGAATTTGGTCGAATATGTTTTGTTCGAATATTTGCCGATCAGTCAATGTAAGAAAATCTTCCCAAAACTACAAACAACGTCTTGGAAAAGAACACTGCCCAAAACTGGCAGACACATCTCTGAAGGTCTTGGTACATGGCTGGTCTGGGACTGCTTTCTTTCCCAGAGCTCCCAAAGGAGCACAACGGAAGACGACGGGGACAGTCCTGCGACACAGCCAAAGACCACGGGGTAGTTTTGCTCCTCCGCGTGCCGTCTTTTTGGTGCCGTTCGTGACCTGGGATCTCAAAAGGTACCTTTGAAGGTCCCTGGTGTATAATCACGTACGTACACTGTGTACGACCCCAAGAGGTGGTATGATGACATGGACCCTTGTGACATTGGTCACTAAGTCTGAAGCCACTGTGATCAAGAGCCCTGCGTGGTTTCCGGACCGAGTCCTGCCCTGCTGGGTGTCTTTCTTCTGGTCGTGTTTTGTGGCAGACCCGTGACCCGCTCCAACCATTTCAACGGGTCAGGGGTCTGTGAAAAGCCTGGAGCTGGACCAGCTGGACTGGTCGGAAGTTCTCTTGTGTTTGCAGGGTCATTGTGCTAGCTGCTAGCTCCTTGTCCAATGGACTGACTGGATCAAACACACCAAACTCTTTGGATGACCAACTGTGTCAAACACCATTACTAGCCTACTTGCAAGAGCCATTAATTAGACGACTAGGGATGGTGGAATCACCAAAAGGTGAACATATTCCTTTGTTTTTTTTTTCTCTCTCTCTCTCTCTCAAGAAATGCTGCTGACGCAAAGCATGGCAGGCTGAGTCTCCTGCTCGTGGATGAGGACTCAAATGACCAAAGAATTGTCGATGATGTACCCAAACAAAAGGAACCCCCGAATCTAGACTCTTGATGAATCAAACTCTCAAGCTCAGGCTCAAGGTATTTCCATCAACAGTCCACATCAGTGAGGTTACCCAAACACTCCGTTCAAATCAACACTCCGTTCAAAAACCCTTGTAAAACCGATCTGGATTGGATTTTGAAACCCCTGGGCCCCCCAACTTATTTTGGGTCCCATCCCTTCGTATAGGTTCCGGGTCCTGCTGTGCTGCCACAAAAGTGCTTCATCCAGAGGGGGATGGCACTTAACCCTAGGGCTCCAACTACCTCCTGAGAGGTTGGGGTGGGTTTTGGGGTCTAACCACCGTCAAGCAGAACACGGGATAGCTTCGGGGCCCGGGTCGCGGCGGGTCGCGTCTGGGTATAACACTCCGTGGATCGCTTCACGGGCTGCTGGATCGTTTCCTTCGCCTCAGTTTCGAGTTTGGCGGTCCTCAGTGAGCACTTTCATGGCTTTCAAGACCTGGCGTTCGAACTGTTGGTTTAAAGATGATGTCCTCCCATGGGAATAGAGGGGTTGGTGCCAGGTATCACATTGCGTGTGCACGAAGAGGGGGTATCTACCTCCTCTATAAATCAACTAACTAACTACTAGTAAGAGGCCAGACCAAACATGTATGGAATAGTTGAATAGTTTTTTTATAGTCAATAGTCATACATGGATGGGCCATTTGGACAAGCTTTCATGCATGTAACTATTCCAGTCCCATGGATAGCTGGGCATGGATAGGAGATTCCTGCGGTTTTCGAAGGGCCCATGGTCTGCCTCGTCGGCGTTCACGAACAAGATGGCGCGGTTCAAAGCACAAAGGTTGGAGGCAGTGTTCAAGTCCACCTGGCGCTGGAAATGGAGTAATGGGACGGACATCTTGCCTACTTCAATAAACATTTACCACAATTCTACCACTATAACCACCATAGAGACACGCAAAACACCCCAATAGGGATCCACTACCACCTTCTTGGGTAAAGGTATGACTGGACCCGACCATGGTGCCAACATAGGGTATGTGAAGTGGATCCATGAGAATTGTTAAGTGCTATCGACTTCAAGTAAACTATTTCCCATGGAACCTGGACCCGACTTCGGTAGTACTCTAGAAAATGGGACATGGCCCGACTGGAAAACAGGTACTTCCAGGACCTTCAAAAGTGTCCAGTTGAATTTCCAGAATGGGTCACTTGAGACTCCAAACAGGTCACGAACGGCTCAGGTCCGCGTGTTCTGCGGTACGTCTAAAAGTTCGACTCCACGAACACTGAAAGTGGCCGCCAGCGTGCCGGTGGGTGGTGAGACGAATTGTTGCGTTCGTTGAGGAGAGTTGAGCTGTGCTGAAAACCTTGATAGATTCCTATGTCGTAAAAGGGTGCTTACGCAACACATAGGTTTTCTTACGCGGCATGTGGGGGGAAGTGGATGTTTCCGCCACCCTTACGCAGCCAGACTTCGCAATTTTTTGCGAAACGCTGGGAACATGCTTACGTGACGTGCTTTGTACAACGATAGGGCTTCAAGAGTTACTACTACCGAGGCCGCGCAAAACCGCATGGCGCAGCGACATCACAATCGTCATTTGGCCACACGGTGTGCCACAGACTAGACACAACAGTGCACCACCAAGCCTCATGGACACCGCCAAGAGTCCCAAAAATTATCCTCTATGGACCTGTTTTGTGTAGGCACATATGAGCAGAGCGGAAGCTTGTCTGAAGTGCATATTTTCAGGCCAGTGTTGGCAAAAGGCTTTGGATTTGGGAGCCATGTGGGCTACTACTCACGGACGCGCCTGACACTTACGCGCTGCCTACGCGGAGCTTACGCGCGCCTTACGCTGAACGTGCTGTGACTCTCCTCGATTTTGGTGAGGTTCATGTTTCTAGTAACCACAGCAGACCTCCTCGACCAAATCTGTTCTCACATCAAATGCGAACTGCAAAACGACAAAGAAAAAAACTGACGCGGCACAAAAAGTTTACGCAACCTGGCGCACTGCAGTGTTTTCCTTATGCCCCGAGCTCTTATGACAAGAACCTTACTCATTACAAGCAAGTGGGTTTATGGCATGGCTCAGTTGGGTCCCGACTTCGGAGTAGCGCTCGTCTTTCGGAGGTTTCAACAAAGGAATACGATGAATCAGTCCAAAACACTTCGGGATATGCGTATATTTACCTGAAACCACCGGTCCCATGGAAGCAAATATGGCAGTCCCATGCAGTGTTTGGGAGTGGGATCAACCGTCTCAAGTCTACAAAGGTGGAGCATCAAAATGTTTGAAACCACTGCACAGTAGTGGGAAGCCAGGCATCCGGAGCCGATGTCACTCAAGGGCTGAGATGTTTACATGCCCGAATGACAAGCACCAAAAGTGGGCAAAGTCCGGATTGCAGGTTCAATCTCGATTGCAACATTTTACTGCATTAGCTGGTTTTCGGCCAGCCTCTTCTTTTGGTCTTTCGACCTTGCATTGTGAAGGGAGCGGATGGCCGCTTGCGCTGCAACTTGAACCACCGCCATTTTGCTGCGGCGTTCGAATTGGCTCAAATCGTGATTTGAATCATTCCTTTCCCCAAACTGGCCGCTTGTGTTCCTGCCAAATACACTCTCATTGTCTGCCCACATGATTTCAGTCCTGTCTTGTCTGGATGCTCTGAGCGCCGTGGTTCGCATGATTTCGCATCTCCCAGTTGTCTGCTCCACTCTGGATTCTTTGCCCGCGTGATTTCAGATGTGACCTTGCAACCTCAAAAACAGACCTTACATAGGTCCAAGAACAACAAGTCAAAACGATATTTCCGTTACAAAAACATCTCCCGACAATATAGGTATATATGTAAGTCAAAGAGTGGCAAGCCTCCGGTTCTGGTGAGCACGACAAACGAATCGCTCACAGCGGCAGTGAAAGGGGGTGGTGGCTGCTGTGGCCAAGGCAGCTGAATGAAAGCTGAATGAATGCCAAGGCGGCTGGACAGCCACAAAAGTGTAGGATTGGCTGCAGTGGCTGGCTGGATAATTAGGCAAGCCCATGCAACTTTTCAACCCAAAGACAGAGATTTTAGAGGAAAGCAGCAGGAAAAGAGAAGACAAGAGGAGGACAAGACCCGGCCACAGAGCCCGGCCACAGAGTTGAGGGGCGCGGCCAGTCAGTGTGGCCAAGCGCGGCCAGAGGACAAGAGGAGGACAAGACCCGGCCACAGAGTTCAGGGAGGGCTGGTCAGCGCGGCCAGAGGACAACAGCAGGACAAGAGGACAAGACCCGGCCACACAGTTCAGGGGCGCGGCCAGACAGTGTGGCCAGGGCTGGTCAGCGCGGCCAGGTGGCCAGCTCTTTTCCAAGACAGAACCCCAACCGTAAACTGTTTGGTGAAAAAAGAGCTGTTAAACGTTCCACTGCAGGAATGCGAATTGATGCTGGGAATCAATGTCGGTTTCAGTGGCTCTGCAGCTTAGGGTCAGCATTCCCATGATTCAGCCGATGCTTCAGAGGAGATCAAGAATCAAGAAAGTTCAGGGTTCTACACTCTTGAGGGTATGTGAATACAGCGCCCAAGTTTGGGCGCACCGCAGTGGATGCTGCCAAAGCACACTTAGAAGGAGGCTTGCAAGAGCATATTGCAGGTTCAACCGGGAATGCATTAACGCAATTATACTGCATTGGCCGATATATGCCGATATGACCTTGACCTCTTTAAAAACAGACCTTATAAAGGCCCAAGAACAACAAGTCAAGACTGCTTCTGCAATCCGTCCACATGCTGTCATGAAGCGCGAAGGTAATTCGGCAAAAATGAATCAAAGGCGGCGAGCGTCCATTTTACAACGGAGACGGGGCTCGCGTGCTTTTCACGCGCCGTTGCGTGGATCCAGCGCTGCTTCCCACAGCCAGGCCTCATCATCAAGATACCACCATGGCTGGTGCGTTTGCGGGTCAATAAAGCCTCAGCGTGAAGTTGAAAAAAAAGCAGCTGTAATGGCTCAAATGCAATGAGCGCCAAACGCTCAAAACCCCATTCTTCAAGCAGCCGTTCTCTGAGGTTGTGAGTTGGAGCCTGCGCATTTCAGCAATAAATAGCGGCGCTAAATGTTTTCGTTTTGCACATTCTTGCCTCATGCACACTCTGGAGGTATCCCGCAACATCAGCCGAGAGGAAACCACGAACCTAACCCAGCAATATTCCAAGCAACCACTAACGAACTGGTGCTCCACTGCAACCTGCTCCTGAAAGGTCCAAGACCCAAGCATTCTTGCTGTCATCTACTGCGCCCTGTGCGCGGGCCGTGCTCACGCATAAAACGTGTGGCGCAACGCCCTCTTTACTCTAGATACTCGACTGCTGCAAGCGTTCAAATCCTTGCGCGCCTCCGTCTCCACCTCCGGCTGTCCTGCGGCCCTCGGGGCGCTCGTGCAAGACCATCGAAACCTTGGATCCGCCGGCAATTGCGCTAAATTTCAGACCTGGCCCCATGGAAACTTGTTGGGCGCCACGCGGGATGTGGACTTCCATCGACCACTCTGACATCCCATCTTCATCTTCGGAAAGATTGGCCTGGGCCCCGGCGTTCAATGACTTGATTTTCAAAATCTTCCAACTCTGGATTAAAGGCCCGTGCGTTGCCCGACTCTGTGGACACAGCCCAGGGAGACAAAGACCATGCGTCTAAATCCTCAATGTCAGCTCATCACGCAGATCGCGTGAAAAATAGGCGACCAAACAAATGCGGATTAGGGTCGGACATGTCATAGGGCGAGGACTCGCCGTCCTCGTAAAGCACCGACGTGCACAGTACTCACCTCGGCTCCGGTTCGAGGGCTATCTACTGACAACTCACGAACTCATGCTGGGGGACTGGCACATGAAGAGGCTCCGGTGGTAGGGGCCGGGACCGCGAGCGTCTGGGTCAAGCCCAAGAAACCAAGTGTGGGCTCCACACCCCTGGCTCAAACTGGATCAACGCAAGGCCTTAACCACTTTCAGCTTGCGCGGGCCGAGTCTAAGCTGCCGCGCAATGCATTCTTGTGGGTCGCGCAGCGCTTGCATGATAATGGTTGGCATCGCGCCTCACAGCAACCACAATTTCCCACGCAAGTGACGGGGGCTTGTTAATTGTGGCCAAGCAGCGTCTTTGCCGCAGCAAGAAATGGAGCGTAACCCACGGTTAAGCTCGCAAGCTTCGAGATACAGCTGCATCAAAACATAGATTTTCAAGCTGGCGCTTCACAGGCCCAAGCCTGCCATTCAAAGTCTGTTGTTTCTTTCAAGAAACGTTCGGTATTAAGCTCACTGGTATGGTCTAATCTCGCAAAAGGGACGTTTTCAGGGCTACCGTTTCCAAGGCCGCGGTTTACAAGCTAGCGCTTCACAGGTCCAAGCCTTCCATTCAAGCCTGTTGTTTCTTTCAAGAAACGTTCAGTATTAAGCTCACTAGTATGGTCTAATCTCACAAAACGGACGTTTTCAGGATACCATTTCGAAGGCTTCCAAAACCAGGTTTTCAACCTAGTGCTTCGCAGGCCGCAAGCCTCCCATTCAAGGCCGTTGTTTCTCCGTTGTTTCTTTCAAGAAACGGTCAGTGTTAAGCTCACTAGTTTGGTCCAATCTCCCAAAACGGACGTTTTCAAGGCTGCCCTTCCAAAGGCTTCCAAAACTAGGTTTCAAGGCTAGGCCTTCCCACCCCCAATTCTTCATATCAAGGCTGTTGTTTCTCCCAAGAAACGTTCAATGATAAGCCCAGTAGTATGGTGCAACTTCTCAAAAACGGACTTTTTCAAGGCTATCCCTCCAAAGGCTTCCAAAACCAGGTTCCAAGGCTAGCCCTTCACACCCCTAATCCTTCAAAGCAAGGTTATTGATGCTCTGAAGAAACGGCCAATATGAAGCCAACTGTATGTTCATCCGTGGATGTAATATTGAGGTCACGGCCCAAGCAAAATCAACGTGAATTATCGCCATAGATCGAATGATTGAACGCTTGAGAGCTTGGCTGCTGCGCGCCGGGTGCACAATAATAAGCCACAAGCACATCGCCAATTTATGGGGCATGATCGAGCTGTTCAGATTGCTATCACCTACGCCTCCATCAAAGGTTGCAGCTTGATTTTGCATGTGTTCCTCGGTCTAAATCCGTGATGGAGTGAAACCTGGGCCGAGGCGGCGGTTGTGAAAACAAATACCGTCCAGGTTTGTTACCAGAAGGGGTAGAAGCAACTGGTCCTGGAATGCGAGGGGCCAACCAATTAAATTTGAGTTCCACGTATTGTTCAACAAGAGAGGCGTTTGAGTCTTCACGGTTTGCGTACATACATACATGGACACATACATGCATACATACGTGCACACACACAATGCTTCTTTTTTTCTGTGTGTGCGTGGGGTCTTCCTTGCTCACACGGACGCGGCCAATCACGCAAGAGCAGTGCGCCGGCCATTCCATCCATGTCAAACTCGACCATGCCACCTGCATCGCTTGGTTGATTACAATGCGATTCACAAAGCTGAAACTTGGAATTGTCAAAGTTTGATTGGGGAACGTCCAACGTCCATCTTGCCTTCAAATCGTCCACGGTGGCTTGATGGACCATCTGCAAGAGTTGTGGTGCCCCGAACTCGCTGCGCACCACCACGCCAAAGTGGCCTCGCTGCAAAGCCGGTGGCGCATGAAGGGAACACGACAAGCAGACAAGAAAACCAGCCCGGCTCGAATCAATCGATACCCTGTGGGTCTGCCATTTTTGCTTTTGCTGGAAAGGGGGCGGTCCACACGCTGACAGGCATTCAATATGTTTGATCCTTTATAATGGCAACCCATGTATGTATGTACGCAAACCGTGAAGACTCAAACGCCTCTCTTTTTGAACAATACGTGGAACTCAAATTTAATTGGTTGGCCCCTCGCATTCCAGGACCAGTTGCTTCTACCCCTTCTGGTAACAAACCTGGACGGTATTTGTGTTTCACAACCGCCGCCTCGGCCCAGGTTTCACTCCATCACGGATTTACACCGAGGAACACATGCAAAATCAAGCTGCAACCTTTGATGGAGGCGTAGGTGATAGCAATCTGAACAGCTCGATCATGCCCCATACTTTGGGGATGTGCTTGTGGCTTATTATTGTGCACCCGGCGCGCAGCAGCCAAGCTCTCAAGCGTTCAATCATTCGATCTATGGCGATAATTCACGTTGATTTTGCTTGGGCCGTGACCTCAATATTACATCCACGGATGAACATACAGTTGGCTTCATATTGGCCGTTTCTTCAGAGCATCAATAACCTTGCTTTGAAGGATTAGGGGTGTGAAGGGCTAGCCTTGGAACCTGGTTTTGGAAGCCTTTGGAGGGATAGCCTTGAAAAAGTCCGCTTTTGAGAAGTTGCACCATACTACTGGGCTTATTATTGAATGTTTCTTGAGAGAAACAACAGCCTTGATATGAAGAATTGGGGGTGGGAAGGCCTAGCCTTGAAACCTACTTTTGGAAGCCTTTGGAAGGGTAGCCTTGAAAACGTCCGTTTTTGAGGATTGCACCATACTACTGGGCTTATTACTTTGCGGTGAGTCAGATAGAGGTAAGTCCGAACAGAATACATCTTGCAAGCTGCTGGATTTGCTCATCCGTCATAGGCACTTCAATTCGTTCATTGTCCTCTTAAATCGTAGGCCGCAAAGGGGGCTTGCAAAAGGGCTTGTCCATTGATGGTCTTCAGGAAAGCGTAAACTTCTGCCCGTGATCAAACTTGACGCCAATCAAAGCAGTGATCCTGTAGATCAGCCCGTCGTATGCACTGGGGTCAACTGCTGCATTCTTCGGGGCAGCCAACACACCCCTGCTTTAAACAATTATCGTCTGCTGAAGTGCCTTTTGGAACAGGGTTTGATACACACACTTGGTAGAGTGCTTCGTAGCAAGCATTAGCACTTTATCTTACTGCATTAGCCGAGCTACGTGCAGGAAAACAACGTAGGAGACAGCGTTATGCAATACTTAGGTTCACAAAGATGGATTAAACATGCAGGTACACACAGTTGATCAGACTGCGCATGCACCGATCAAGCATAGCTTTGTTAGCCAGAGTTTGCTTGTCGGTCGCTGGCCCCCCACACACACATACACACCTCATATGAAGAACAATCCAACCGTTTCTTTGAGTGGATTGCATCTAGATGTCCATGATCATGCTCCCGTTGTTTCTATGTAATGTTGATACGCTAACGCCTGTATCGGCTGTTGTAACATGCAACGTCTTCCCCCGCTGTCCTGTTGTTTTCAACGCATCGCCGACAGGATTGCTTTTGCCTGTTGACAATATCTTGCTCTTATAGATGTCAAAGAAAACAAAGACAATTATAAACACATCTTGTTGGTTGCTGTTGCTAGCAAACGGCCACTCCGTGGACTCCTTACATACCAAGGCGATCCGGATGTCTTCCATCCACCACCACAACGACCGCTGGATCCCCAAATGGCCGGTGTTCCATTCGATGGTCGCGCCTTCTTCTCCATGTTCATGCGGATCAATCGCTGATACCACCTCGAGACTCCGCGCTAGCGTGGAGTAGAAGAACATATGCATGTCATTGGGTCAAAACACTGACCTGAAACAAACACGGACTACAGCTCAAGACCTCAAGCTGAATCATATCTGTGCTTTTTCGGACGACTTCAGTCCCAAAAGCTCGGAACTCCTGACCCTTAGGGCCATACAGGGAACCTTCCGTTCGCTGCTACCGCGTTGTTCGTTGCGAACGAAGTTGGCCGATCCCAGCACGAGCCTCCCACCGAGGGTCGGCGGTGCCGGGTCGGAAGACTGACTGGTGCGACGCAAGCAGGGTGGCTGAGGGTGGCTGGATCCAAAGGAATCTCTGGGGCGAAACTTCCCTCATTCGCCTACTTTCGTCGCACCAGTCAGAGGATTCCATGGACCCTGAGTACACCACGTCGGTTGACCATCGGAGCCAGGGAGTCGTGGGAGTCGTGTTCGGGAGTGCCTGCAGGAGCTGTGTTCCAAAAAACCGTGGTGAGGAGTGCATGCGTCCTCGGACAGGTGAGGAGCTGTTCCTCGGCAGTGCCGCAAAAGACTCCTGCACCATGTCACTAGGTGAGGTATAGTTATATATATATATAGACAGAAAGGACCCACTGGCTTCCGCCCAACCGCTCAAGCACTGAACCGAAATGGAAGTAGGCCAGTATAGCCTCCAAAAGGGCTCTATAAATCGACTGGGGTATCCTCTTTATGCCGGTGTAAGGAATTCCAATGTTCTCAAAACTGTTCTTGGGATACACAATCAAACACAGGATCCACATAGGAGATCTTGTCAGTCCAACCAGGGACCTGTTCCATCCAATGTCCATTTTCCCCGACTCCTCGTGACCATCGACGACTGCTTCTGTTCTGACTGCTTCTGTGCCCATGGAACCCGAAGTCAAAGAAAGATCCAGGAGTCACAGGAAGGAGTACGACGTCGGTGTCCATCCACTCACTGTGAAGGACCACGTCGGAGCACGACGCCCGACGTCGGACGCAGACGTCGGACGCAAACGTCCAGCACCAGAACACCACTCCGAGCGACCATGAGACTCCGAGCGACTGTCCTTCTTGAGTTGTCTCACTCACATCCGGTCACCCAGCACCACCCAGCTTCAAGTGGTTTTTGTTCGACCCCCCTGAAGATGTATGTTCCATCCATGGCACCGGCGCTGAAACGGGCGCTGAAACGGCCCCTTCCTTCGGTCGGGGTAGGTGATCGCACTTCCCCAGGTCGGTGGACTTCGACTACCTATACCCTACCCAAACACTCCATGGGGTTGGGGTGCTTTTGGGGGTCAATTGATCGGCAGTCCTATGGCAGTCCCATGGAGTGTCTGGGCTATTCCATCCATCCATCCATCCATCCATCAAGCCGGGTGTCCACGCCAGCTGTGCCAAGCTTTCCGGTCCCACTCGGGCACCAGGTTGGCCTTCTCCTCTCAGCTTGGTCCAAGTGACCCCGGATGTACCGGGATTGAAGATGAAACCTCATCTTCGACATGCCAAGGAAGTCAGTCAGGTGACATTCACACACACCATAAGAAGGCTTTTGGACCATCAAAGGCCTCAGGTTTTTAGAGGTTGTTAGACTCCAATGGAAGTCATGCGACATTCAGAACAACAAAAAACATGGCTGAAACTGTGTGAGTTGCACATCGTTTTCTTTGTCAATTCGACAAAACGGGCACCGAGAATAAATCTGAGAACAGAACCAAACACTAAACTGAAGATTCATGTTGTTTTTGGGTGGGTGCCTTGATCCAACCAGATTTGGGACACGCCAAATAAATAGGTGTCCCCGACCCCTCGTGGTCTCCTCGTTGGTCCAGGGCCGCAACTTCAGATCTTTACCTCACTGCAAGTGGCCGGAAGTTCTGGATCACGAGCCATAGTTTTGATAGGACGTTGGACCTCTTTTTGGGCTGGTTGCTGGCCCGAGGTCACTCAGGCTGTTTGTTGGGACTATAGCTGGACCCGACGACACATTGGTACCGGGACATGACCCGACTGGACAACAGGTACCACTAGGGACCCATTTCCGAGGTACATACTGAGGTTCCAAGAATCAGAAAAACAAAAGCTCCTGTTCCCAAGCTCGGTGTTTTTGTTTTTACGCTTTTTGTTGAGACCGTGTATGTGGATCCATCGCACAGTTGAGGGATCTCCAGAAACCAAATACCACAACAACTATGCATCAGAACCCGAACACCAACGGAGCCGGACCCAAGTCACGCGACGCGACTGTCACGCTCAGGAGTTGTGAACAACTCCGTTGGGAGCACACCGAGATCGTTCCTTGTTCTGACTCGCCGTTGGACGAATCAACCAAGAGAGGTGAAAATCGACCAGGGACCTACCCGTCACCGTCACCAGGGTACCCTCTGCTTCTGGGAGAGTCGACTAGTCAGGTCCAACCATACCGTCCATCAGTGACTCCTACCAGGGATCCCGACCCCCAACACTGGTGAATGGACCGCGACTGGACCACCGGAGGCCGAATCTCTATGTGTCCGGTGTCCTGTCCAATCGGCTCGGTGAAAGGCAGGTGATTGACTTCCAGGTGGAACTCTACCCTAAGAATCAGAACGGACCCGACCACTTCTGGAGGGTTTGGACTCTGCAGAACCGAGGGGGCCCTTGGACCTGAACCAAACCTTCACCGAACTGAGGGTCCTTGATTGTCACAGCTCCAGGCCGCGGGGGCGAGGCCCTTCAGGCCGCTCCATCTCTTTTTCGTCCGAGGACAGTGGAGGGATGATGGATGATAGCAGAGCTTCTGTAAGAAAGGCCATCAGAGCCCTTGGGGCTCAAGGACTAGGTTTCAATGGGTCCTTCGAGCTGCTACGAAATGGGAAATGGGTCCTTAAAATCTGAAAAAAGGCCCCGCAAAGGCAGAAGATCCCTCTGAGGGAAGAGCTCCGCAGGGCCAGATTCCGAAGGCTTGGGAATATCTTGTGGTAGCAATGTTCCTTCCCTAAGAATCCAAGTGACCCTGCAAGGGTCCAGGCTCCAAACCTTCCAAGGGTCCTGGCTGATGGTTAGTGTGGATTTGCTTAAGGAACCTTGAAACATGTATAAATAACACATTCCCCAGAAGGTGATTTACCCGGAAACTAAAGCACGACCTTAAGCAAAATGTCGTTAGGGTTGTGTCTATGCCATGGATCCAACTACACAACCCTCTCCCGTCTCGCGGAAACATTCGTTGTTGTGATCCCAGTCTTTTGGGGGGACCCCGAACAAAAAGCAACTGCATCACCTACGCAAAGAACACCCTGGAACTGGAACCAGACTTGAACCAAAATGGCATACAAGTCGTGTGATCGCTTTAACACCAACATGTGTTTCACGTCACAAGCAGTCCCTACCCAACCAACCATTCATTTTGCTAGAGAAATCTATAGTAGATTAGTAGATATATGATCATATGATACATGTACCAGGACCATCCAATGGGTGCCCTGTCTGGAAGCCTATAGGTAGTGTGGGTTTGTTCATTGGACACCCCTTGGATGGTCCTGGTAGGTATAGTTATTTAATGATAGACCTGGAGTCGTCAGTTTGGAGTCGTCATCTCGAACACAACAGGCCAAAACGGGATCCTCTACCCGGGCCTCCTTGATCACCAACCAAAACGGGTGGTTCCCCCACCAAAAACGCCCGGCGGCACACACCGCGGCGCAAACACCGATCCACCGAGAGATCTCGCTTCGTCCGCCTCCTCGCTGCGACGAGTCACTGAAGGGGCACCACACGCGACGCGGCTGCCCAGGCGACCGATCAGCGGCCGCGCCATCGCGTTGCGCGCGCGGTGAAGGAGGGAAGCGCTCCTCGTGGCGAGATCGTCCAGCGAGGACCGGGAGAGAGGGAAGCCAGACAGACAACTGGGAGGGTGCAAGAGCTGCAAGAGCTGCCGAGACTTCTGGGAGATGAACTATAGATGGCCAGTTCACCTGAAGAAACTCCCTATACAGCATGCTGGATGGATCAGTTCTCCCATGTTCTCCCCACCACGCGTTCCCCATGCGTAAGGACGTTCTCCGCCCGGTCGATTTCACTGGTTCGGTGGCGGAAAAGGGAGCATCGCTTCACCGCTCAAGAAAAAACAAAGTCCCGGACAACAAAACTGAGGTTCATCTGCCGTTCCACCAAGTTGTCCGGGACTCAACCACCAAGTGAAGGTTATAACAACTGGTACCATGGGCCATGGGTTTTAAATCACCAAGTTCCAGAAAGTGATCTTCAAACTTCAGTGATCCGTTATTGGAAGGAAGAGTGACCGTCAGTGCCCAATGCAAGGGGAACTCCAACAATCAATTTGGCTGCGATATATTTTTCTTAGCGTTGACATCCGTCGACCCCATCTGTTCCTGCTACCACTGTTGGGTGTTTCTCAAACAATGATGTAGAGATGCCAAAATCAGGACGTGATTGGACAAACACAAAGTGTAAACCCACACACTTAAATAGACTTAGAAGGAAGCTCACACATCTCGCAAGAGCACAATTCGTTCTTCTTCCGGAATGGTCCAATCATCGAATCGAAGCATCAATTTGTGAAGAAACAGCCCTTTGGAACAGGGTTTGACACACGCACACAAAACAAATAGAACCCACAAACTATAAACGGGAACCCTTCGCTACAACAACAACAACAAACACAAACAACAACAAACAAACAACAAACAAACAAACAAACGAACGAACGAACGCACGAACAAACAAACAAACAAACAAACAAACAAACACACAAACAAACAAACAGACAGACAAACAGACAAACAAACAAACAAACAAACAAACACACAAACAAAAAAAACAAGCGAACGGACAAACAAACAAACAAACAAACAAGACATACAACAACGTACGTATACAACAAACAACAAGTTAACAACAAACAACAACCAACAACCACAACAACAACAACAACACCAAGAACAAGAACAAGAACAAACAACAAACAACAAACAACATACAAATACAACAACAACAACAGCAACAGCAACAGCAACAGCAGCAACAACAACAACAACCACAACAACGACAACAACGACCAACATACAACATACAACATACAATAACAGGTCACCAAGCTCCGCACATAGATTGGTGCGTCCGCACCCTCCAAATCAAGGCCATCCCGTAGGTCCACCTGGGTGAACAGACGTGTCGGACCGGGGACGAGCCCATGAGTTGGAGGGTCCGAGCCCGGAGCTGGAGACCGAGTCGACTCATTTCACACCCACCCGAGTCGACCCGTCAGGACCCTAGGACTCAGTGTGAAGCTTTGGGACTCAGGTCCTGCGTGACCCTGCAAGCCGCGTCCCGGTCCCGCGTCCCGGAGAATTCTCGACCCCGGTTCGCCGGCGCGGTGAGCTGGATCGAACACCCCTTTTTGGGCCCCAAAGAATCCGTATACTCCGCGGTCTTTGGATGAGCTCCTATCCCAGACACCGCGGTCTTGGGACTGGCATATTTACCCTATGGATCCACTGCCACCTTTGAGGAGGTACGACTGGGCCCTCCTGGCGCCTACATAAATAGTCTCCAATCAGGTACCAGTACTTGGATCCCTAGGGTTACATACATTGACCCCGAAACCACAACCAGCATACCAGTCCCAGAGAGGTCGTGTCTGGGTACCCGACATTGGGCCCAAGAACCGGACCCGACGTCAAGGACTTCGGCCACCGTTGCTTCGGCCACCGTCAAGGACTTCGGCACATGCCGAGGGGACGAAGATGTGAAGAAGTGAGGGTTGAAATCGAATGTCTGCCTGGAGTGCCTAGGGATCCACTGCCACCTTCTCAGGACGTACGACTGGGCCCTCCAAGCCTATACTTGGATTCTCAAAGAATGGTTCATACCCCTTTGGGCCCCAAGCAACGACGAATTCTCTGGTTTCGTACCAAAGTACCCGATGGGATGGCCGAACGCGGATTGGAATATGATCCATCCAAAAGAGGCTTTTGGAGACCTGCACGTGCACCGTTCAGACCCTAGTGACTAGTGGTATACATATGCGCTGGACGAAAAAAGGCATCACTATTGGGTTGTAGGCCATCAAGCCAGGACCATCCTGTTTCACTGTCCGGACGTCTGAACTAGACTACTATCGGGGATCTCCAAACGTCCAGGAATAGACCAGAAATAGATGTTTTGTATAATTAAGAGGATGAGTTCCCTACATCTTGTCCATCAAGGGTCGTATGTTTGAAAATGAGGCTAAGTCACAACGTGTCCCCTTTCTACGCACCAAACCATCCATCACCAGGCCATCCATGTATGACAAATACGTTCATTCAGATCATAACTGGGGTATGTATAACTCTTTCATCATATTTCAGTCCCATGGATGAATGGTGACCTACGTTGGGGTCACAACGTATCTAACCAATTTCGAGAGGTGTTTGTTCATAGCCTTTTTTCACCCATCCCATATATACCACGCCACTAGTCGTGGGTCCGAACGTTCAGGTCTCTAGCGATGGCCTCCAACCTAATAGCTTCATATTTATACAACCATCATCAACAATCTATTTAACATACTGATAGATTGGTCCTACTTTGGAGGAGGGAGAACTTCTGGAAAGCTGGAGAGCTTGGGACAGTGTGGGTCCAAAGCATCCCTCGCCCGAACGAAAAAACCATGAATCGAAGAGTGGGAAGTGGATTTCTGCGGGATCTACATGGGGTTGACCTCCTTCATTGACACGACAATCTACAAACCATGCTTTCGGTTGACCTTCTTCATCGGACCCATCGACGGATGCGATCCGCCCTCTGAGGGAACCCGACCCGAGCGGAGGAGGCCGGCCTACATACCCCTAGACCTCCAAGTACCTTCTGAGAAGTGGTTTGGGGTAGGTTTGGAGGGTCCAAATACCTTCTGAGGAGGTCCTTGGAGGTGTAGGGTACGTCTCTCCCTGCGAAACCATAGACGTCTGGATCCGTTGATCCCTGCGAAACTGGATGGGAGTGCCATCGGACGGTGACTCGACCTCGCCTGGGAGGTCGGATCTACCGGAAACGAGGACTGCAAGGAATGTCACTCGGTACCCGTGAGCCTTGAACATGGGACATCACCCGAACCCCAAAAAAACAGGTACGACCGGGGCCCAGGTTCAAAGGTAACAGGTCGACTCCAGGTAGACCGGTGTTTTCTATGTTTGTTCGGTGATAGTTATATATCAGCTGGAGAGTCCAAGGTTGGTGTGGAGGTGAAAAGTATCCATCTCCATTACACCAAATACACATCAGCATGTTATTATTATTGAAAACCCTGTCTTGTCTGTGGGTATAAAAGGGCAACTGGTGAGATCGAGCCACCTGAGTTTTGTTGAACGCGAACCCATGCCCATGGTCATGGTCTTTTGAAGAGTGGTGAGGGTTTCCATGACATGCAACTCACTGTGCTCACTCATGGCATGCGTCAGATGCGTTGTTTTTCTGCCCTTGAGGATGGATATATACCTGGAGTCTCAAAGTGTCTTGTTTGATAGAACATGGGTATAAGTATGCCTGTTTTCATAGGGTCATGTCCCATTTTCTAGAGTCTTCGAAGCCGGGTCCAGGTACAACAACTATCATCAACTCCCATGAAAAAACCTGCCCACCCATGGGCCCTGACTGGGACTTCCCGCTCTTGTCCTTCCGGTGATGAGCCGGGGCACATAAGTGCGCAAACCGAAGGTCTCCAAGTACGCCAGGTCCTTGCAGGTGCACGCCGGCCGGGCGCTTCACAAAGCAGCTGAGAATCGTGGAGATCCAAATGCGATGGTCATCGAGCAAAAGTCGGGGCATTGGCGTTTCGGGGCAGGTTGGAAACCAGAAGCGATCGTATCTATCCAGGCCCAAATTCTATCAAGTGTATGAACTGATCCCAGTCTGTATAGAAAGGTGTTGTAACCAAAGCCAGGCCGACCACCTATACATTACTATACATAAATGAAGCAACGAACATGATGTAATTACGTGAACCCAGCTGCAGGTGAAGAGAATAATGCACACCAAAAAACACAACAAATTTTCCCGGCACCAGACCCCAAACAGTGTCTGTGTGTGTGTGTGTGAGAGGTCAGGAGGTGTAGCAGCAGAAGGTTCACAAAGTGCTGTGCCTGCCACGACATCCGCACTTTGAGGTTCACAAAGTGCTACGCCTGTCACGAAATCTGCGCTTCGAAGCTCACAAAGTCCTGCGCCTGCCACGCAATCTGCGCTTCGAAGTTCACAAAGTGCTGCGCCTGCCACGAAATCT